TCGAGGTACAATTGATATTACAGCTTATTCTTAACTGAACCCTTCGGGTCGAACCCAATCGAATCACCGATCCGAGACGACAAATTAATCCGAAAGGATTTAATGAGTCGACAGAGTTTTACGAATACGGACGTCGGATATCGAGACTAGGGCGTCGAGATCGAGCGTCGCAAAATCACAAAGCGACAAGTATGAACATAGCCCTAGCAACACACTGGTCTAGCCATGTGGATGCTAGGCTAGTTCGAGCTAGCATGCACCTAGCATGGCTAGGCGCAGCCTAGGCGCACCATGGCAGCCTAGGCGCACCATGGCAGCCTAGGTGCACCATCGCAGCCTAGGCGTGCCATGGCAGCCCATCGCAAGCTCTAAGCGCAGCCTAGGCGCACCATCGCAGCCTAGGCGTGCCATTGCAGCCTATCGCAAGCACCACAAGCACCAGGCAGCCCATCACAGCTAGCAGCATGCTAGCCTGGATGCCTGGGTGCGCATGGCAGGGCCACACACGCACCAAGCACAGCCATCGCAGTGCTAGGCACTGGCGAATGTGCATGTGCGTGTGTGCGTGCCTCGCACCAAGCATAGCAGTGCTAGGCACTGGCTGATGCGTGTGCGAGTAGTGCGTGGTGCGTAGCATGATGCGAGGCAAGGGGGCCAGCATGCGTGGCTCGCTAGCAGCATGCATGCTGGCCATGCTAGCAATGGTGCGAGAGATGCTGCGAGAGATGCGAAGGCCAGCATCAGCGCCTAGCACTGGGCAACACCAGCGCCTAGCATCGCCCAGCACCAAGCATGCGAGGCTGCTGGGAAGGCTGGTGCTAGCTGGCTGGGCTGGCTGGCACTGCTAACTGGCGTGCTAGCTGGCAGCAGCCCAGCAGGCCTTGCTAGTGCCGGTTTTGCAAGTGGGGACCATTTCTTGGAGCAATGGCTTGGGGATCAAGGCAATGGTCCCCCAAGCCTTTGGTCCTCACTTGGCCTTCTCTATTATTGTGCCATGTGTCGATTTGTGATTGAATTGATTAATCAATTAATTTTGGAATTAAATAATTATCATTTCACCAACTCTCCCACATTGATGGGAGATTGGAAACCAAGGATTCATTTCCTTATAAATACCCTTCAAGGGTGTTGGGAAATGAACAACCTTGAGTGGAATTAAAAAGGCAACTCTAATTAAGAGTAAACCTTTGATTCGTAAAACTCATAGTTAATTCGTTCGGGTCTTGACTAACCTTCAAGACTTAGGACGCTCGGGTCGGGTCGAGGGTACGATCCATCGGAGATCTCGTGTTTTCGGGATTTTGAAGTAAGAGCTCTTTGGGAGCGAAGCACGTGACAAAGGTATAATTCTTGTTCTTAATCTTGTTTGATTAAGTTTAATATGCTTGTTAATTGTTTAATTAAGGGGCGGGTCTTGGTGGGTTTCCTTCCGCGTAGTGTCGGGTCACTACGTAACCCTACAAAATTAAACCCAACCTCGAATAATAATATGAACCTTTACTCAATTAATTTGTTTGTCCCACAAGTGTGTCATGCTCTTTGTTTTATACCTAGCCTTGGACATGGGTAATTCGAATAAATAAACCAACAAGTATAAAAACTTGAATACTCTAAATAACCAGAAAACACCTTAAACCATGACCAATATGGGTCAAATCCCACTGTAGGGGACCATAGAAAAATATAAATAAAGATTGTACCTCATTCTTAACTTATGATTATCATCTCCTTACCAACATGCCAAGGACTAAGGTAATTAACATCGAGCCTCAAACCAAGAACAAAATAATAATTCTCAACACTTTTGATCTCATACATCGATCAAATAATCATTCACAGATTCATAAACAATATCTCAATAAAGGCACAGGTTCCTAAAATATATAACATAACACATTCAGTTTGCAAAATATCTCAACTCTCATAGGGTAATCAAACTAATACCTAAAATTAATCAATTCTCAACCCAATATGTTATTAGTAACTCTAAAACCTCAAGAACAATACTCCCTAAAACAACAACATTAAGAACCCTAGCATATTGATACAATGATACGATCAATCATATACAACAATAATAACAAGATAATTAGATCTGATCAAATCATAAAATTATATACATTAATCATATATATAAACTCAAGCATATAAATAGCATACAATAATAATATAAAACAATTATACAAACAACTCCAAAATAAATCCGTGTGATTACATATAATGATAAAAATAATACAAATGTCTCCAAATTGATATGATATAGTGTGATTACCTTCCGGATAAAATCAATTCCACAGTCTACAACCTTGATAAAAGTCAATCGCAAAGTCCTAGCCGTAGTAATTGGTCAGCAGCATGCAATGATGGTGGTAATGAAATTATATATGGGTGTACATTTGCTACTCGCATGATTTGATTATAGTGATGGGCTGACTTGGATTGTATTTAATCCAATTGTTGATTTGAATTGTAGAGAAATTGGTGCAAAAGTACAATAAACTCACCCGAAAGAAATTTGGGGAAATTGGTTTAGCTACAAAAGATTAATTGGAATGGAGGCAAAGCTGAAATTAATTAGGGAATAAGGAGTATTTATAGTTTTGTAAACTACCAGAGTCCTATAAGATATAAACTAGGGTTTAAAACATTCCAAAGTATAAAAAAAACTATGTAGATTAGGAAAGTTAATTAATAATTAAAAATTACTTATTTTATCTATGAAAATTTATTTTATAAACTATAATATATTCGGTGTTATAATCTACCCTCTTTAAATCAAGTTTCGACTTTGAAACTTAAAATAGAAAAATTCAGGGTATTACAATCTACCCTCCTTAAAACAAGTTTCGTCCTCGAAACTTAATGTAGAAAAATAACTTACTTGTAAATTTGAGAGAAACTAAAAATTAAACCAAACTTTTCATTATAAAATATATAGATAGAGTATAGACTTATTAGGGGTATTACAGGCCATAAAAACCTTTTTTTGTGTTTTTAATTTAATAAAAACAACTTTAATAAAAATTAAATTAAATTAGTCCAATAATTAAAATTAAACCTCCATTCAATTTTAAAATTAGGGTTCTTCATGAAATTTAATCCTAATTAATTTAACACTTATAATAATCCATTGATCATGTAAAATTCACAATTTATACATAAAATCAATGTTATTAAATTCATGAAACATATTTAAATCGAAATCAAACAAAATAAGCTTATAAAATCAGATTTTTAGGGCTTATTAGGCTTGAATATTTCGAATAAATTAGGGTTAGGGTTCGAAAATTTCTAGCATAATAGGGCTAAAGTTCGGTCCTCTCTAGCCTATTTTGAGTATAATTAAATCACATTTAATCAATTCCAAGAGTCAAATCACATCCAAAGTAATAATTGAACTATAATTAAATTAATTTTCCCTCTTAATTGATTATAAAATTATGAACATGGATTTCAATGAATCGTATTATTATAATCAAGTGTGTTCATGCAAGAGGCTAACTGATACCACTGTAGGGATTTAGGTACTCTAAGCGGAATTTCATGAATCATATTGATACGCACCTATAACAAGATCGCATGCATAACACACAAAAATCACATTAATTATACCTTTGAAGCGTGATCTCCATGTAGCAAGTTGATTGACAGTTAGGGAGAATATAGAGCCCCTAGTGTTACTCCTCTACTTAGTCCACGAGATTCGAATGAGCCGTCCACAACTACTAGATTGGTCGAGTGAAGGGGAAACACTGCGATCACCTTTATGGACAACTGTCACCACCACGATCCATCACCACCACCATACACACACCGACGCACGGAGAGGAGAGAGTGCCGTGAGAGAGGGAGAGAGTTTGAGGGGTTGGGTCTTGTGTTTGCTAACTCGGGTTTGATTAACAGTAAAACTAATCTTCTTCAAACCCTAGGCACCTAGTCTATTTATAATCTTATTATAACTAGACTAGGTTAGAAAGCCCAAAACCCTCCAAACTATTCCCCATGGCCAGCCACCTAGAGAGATAAGGCCCATCATGGGCCTTTTCCTCTTATGCTTAATCTAGGCTCTTTGTATGACCTTATAGGATCCGTTTAATTGGGATTTGACCTATTTTACTAGCCAAAGATCGTTGGTACCTCTAGTTATGATATAACGACGACCCAAAAGAACGAACTTAATTATCTCCATAATTTGATCCATTATATATCTAGTAATTACACTTGATGAAGACATAAATTTTTCATGTGCAACCTATTATGTATATATATGCCTATTTATATTTTTGTGGGGGAACTCCTGGAATTTTTCAAGGGGGATCTACTTGGAATTTTCGGATCTCCCTAGAAAATCTGAAAATTCTAGGCAAATTTCATGAAGACCCCCCCTGAAACTTCCAAATAAAAAAAAAGAAAAAAAAGAAGCAACAAATACAAAGGACTTAACGATTTCATATGGTCCGTCGGCCTCTCCGGTGGTTGGTGGGTGGTTGCTCGTGGTCAATAGGTGGTGGGGTACCAAAGGTAGAGAGTGAAATTGGTACATCTTCTAAGGGCCATGTTCGTAAAGTCATGTTAAAATACGGGCGTTACTCGGTAAATACCAGACATAGTTTAGAAATTCACGTAATAACTCCACTGTCTTATCTTACATATTTTTTTTATTATCCTACCTTACGCCACAACATCTTATTTAATTAAGTCAATAAAACCTCATAAAACTCCAAACATTCACAACTCTAGCATTTAAGTAAAAAACAGAGGGAGTATAAAATTCTCTATTTGGACCCCAACTACTAATTTTCCTAAATTTTATCACTTTATTCTCTTTCTACTATTATCACTATAAAGCCGAGGGAGTACAACAAGAAGAAAATTGCACTATTTAGGTCCATAACAATCTTTCAAAGAATAAGTATATTCTACTCTGACACACCAAAATATAGATTCCTTTATAAATAGCAAATTTTCTTATTTTTACTTCTCGATAAATAAGGACACGACGATCTTGCAAAAAGACGTTCCTAATCTACAAAAATAAAAGGTAATTTCGTGCGAGGCGCATCTAACAATTTTCAACCAAGACTTTCAAAGAAACCCCCTAGCCGCCATGGCTTATGATGTTGACCCCATCTACTTCTTTAATCTCCACCCCTAAAAAAATCACAAAAGTCTTCTCTTCTCCTCTCATCTCCAACTTTGTTGGTTAACCTTAACCCACCTTCCTCCTTAACCCCAACCACATTCTCAATTTTCACACCTAACGAATACCCAAAACTCTCCCCATCTCCTGGAGCTCATTCCCTGAGCTCCTCCCCCCTTCTCTCTCTGCCGCAACCACCACCCTAACCACCGCGCAAATCTACCCTCTCTCCACCACCTCACCATCTTATCCACCCTTCAATTCGTCGAAACCCTAATCGATCAATCAACCAATTTCCCTTCAATGGAGTTCTTTACTCTTTAGGGTTTCCACCCCCTTTTCCTTGCCATCTCTCTGACACCAACCTGCTCCGTATCTTAATCGATCTTACAATATTCGTTTTTATGGCGATCCGATACACCGTCTCTTTTTCCGCTACCATTGCCCAGAACATCGCTTCCTCAGCCAGTCACCGTGTTACGAATTACCGATGTATTCATGATTTTGTCACGAAGCCTCGGGCAACGGCTGCGAACCCGAATTTGGATTCGCGTAAGAATTACCATTATTCTCATCGTAATAATAGCACGAATAATCAGCCGGATGTTAGGCGATCGAAGCCGAGTTCGAGTTCTAGAGGTAAGACGTCGTCGTTTAGTACTTTTGCTGCGGATTTGATTACTGGGAATAGTAGTAATAGTAGTCCAGTGGCTGCTGGGTTGATGTCGCTGGTGAATTCCGCCATTTTTGGAGGTTCAATTTCGAGTCCAATGGGGTCAATGGGAGTTGCGCCGCTTCGGGGTGCTTCGATTATTCCGTTCTTGCAGGTTTCGAAATGGCTGCCGTGTAATGAGCCTGCATTGATCCGATCGACGAGTAATGATGTAGATAGAGGAGGGACTTCGAAGGTTTTGGATGAGAGTAAGATAATGAAGAAGGTTGAGAGTTTGAATTCTGCTTCAGTGGATGTTTCTAAGGTGATTTCGCAGCAGAAAGTGATTGATAGGAAGAGCTGGCTGTCTAAAATGTTCAACTTCTCGTCGGACGATGCCAAGGCAGTCTTCACTGCTGTCACCGTTAATCTGCTGTTCAAGTCTTCCTTAGCTGAGCCGAGGTCGATTCCTTCATCGTCAATGTGCCCCACGCTTGATGTTGGTGACCGGATATTGGCTGAGAAGGTAGTTTTTTTTTTATTTTTTTATATTGACTTAGAAATGTGATTTATCTTATAATCTTGAATTGGTTTGTTATTTGACAACTTCAAATTATGATGTGACTATGAATTTACAAATGCAATCAGCTTTAGTGTGAGTGATAAGGGTAGTTGTTCATGTTAACATTGTTTGAATGCAATCAGCTTTAGTGTGAATGATGAGTGTAGTTGTTCATATTAATATTGTTTGTGCAAAAATTGGTGTCAATTGGTTTATTTGATATTTGTTTGGGTTGATTCATGTCAGTAATGGTGATGCTGTTCTCATTTAGTCCAGCAAATTTTCTGATTCTCCCACACATTGGTTGCTATAAATAAATTTCAGGAAAATTTAGCCATTGAATGGAATTGAAAGTTCTATAGTACCAGTATTATGCTAAACCGAGATGTTAAAACTTACTAGTGTTTTGTTTTAAAGGGAAATTTTTGTTAGTAAGAAGTGATACAATATCTAAAGTATGCTGCCCCTAAAACTTTAGGATACTTTAAGTTTGATTGACATGAATGTGGCAAAAAGGAACTGATAGTTTGTTCACATTTTGTGAAGGATTGTAGTATGATCTTTTGTGCTTTGGTTGGTCAATATTATGCTATGCCTCTGGGGTGCTGGTCCTGTCTCTGCTAGAGCAGATATGTTATGCAGAAAGAAACTCAGGCAAACAGTGACCATTTATTTGATTTAGATTGCTGCTTCTGATGATATTTCTTTTTATAGTGGAAAAAAACAACTTGAAAGTATCAAATTATCAAACTCTTAACACAGATAACTTAAAATAACCCCTTTTTTTTTTTTTTTTTTTTTTTTTTTTTTTTTTTTTTTTGGCAATGTGTGGTGTAACAGATGGTTTGTACTTGAATACAGTTTAAAATCATTTCATTTTCTTTCCTAACAGATTAATAACGTTCTTTTGCAAGTCATTTATAGTTTCTCTATATTTCCTTGGGAATGAGCAGCGTGTAATTACTGTTAACTGCTATGAAACATTTGTTGAACCAAATTTACATCTTTTATGGATATATATGAAGCTAATAGATTGAGGGTGTTTTAACTCTTTAGTTTCTTAAAGCATTGTCTTTCTGTTTAAGTCTGATGGAATTCTGGAGCTTATGAAGGTTAAATTGTGTGTTCTTTTTTCCAGGTTTCATACATCTTTAGGCAGCCTGAGGTTTCCGATATTGTTATATTCAAAACACCACCGATTCTTCAGGTACTGTTTAAATTTAAAATCTGGGCTTCAGCATGGCATGCTAAAAGTTCCTCTCTTCCTTTTTTTAGTTTGTCAAGTGACTACAGTGATTGAAATTTTAGTGTTTCAAATTATTCAGGAAATAGGCTTTGCCACTGGGGATGTATTCATCAAAAGGATTGTAGCAACTGCTGGTGATTGTGTTGAAGTGAGTATTTTCTATAGGTAATTGTACTTTAGTAATTATGCTTCTGTGGATTTTGTTTCTTGGTATAACTTGGTCTAAATTAACTCTGGAGCAGGTGAAAAATGGGCAGTTGTTAGTAAATGGTATTGTTCGTGAAGAAGAATTTATATTGGAGCCATTAGCTTACGAAATGGATCCTGTGGTATGTTCAGAAGCCTTGACTTTACCCATTCTGTCGCTTCCTTGACATGCTCCTAGAAGTACCTTGTTGGAATTCGCTAATGTCCTTCTGCAAATGTTTTATGCAGATTGTGCCTGAAGGCTATGTCTTTGTGATGGGAGACAACCGCAACAACAGCTTCGACTCTCATAACTGGTAATTTTGCAGCTCCTATTCTTTCGGTTTATCCTTAAACTCTTATTTTAAGCCTAGAAAGATTAGGCTTTTGGCCCATGTTATTACCATTTCCTTGCATCTTTCTGTTTTGTGGCAGTTCAAGATGATTGTCATCCATTTGAGAATTGCAGAGCGCAAATTTGATATTTATGTGGTGTCATGCTAATTTCGTTGCTAATCTGGCTTCTTTATTTTTTACTACAGGGGTCCACTCCCTGTCAAAAACATCGTTGGCAGATCAGTGTTTCGATACTGGCCTCCAACCAAATTGACAGACACTATATATGAACCACAAGCAGAAAACTGTAATGTTGCAGTTTCATGACAAGTTTTCCATCCTTCTGTTAGACGAAGAGATTCTGAGTTGATGGTGTCGTAATTAGTTCAAGGAAGGTGTCGACCTCACTTAAATTTTTTCTTGTAGCGTTTTTCTCTGATAATACCAACAATTGTGCATATTTTTATTGTTTGGGAGCTATAGTTCCATATAAGTGATTTAACACAATTTTTATGATGGATTATGACATTATGTTGTCCATCGAGTGTGACATCATCTCAATTGGTCTGTGCTGTAATGGTTGGTTCATTTTTTGTACGACACTTCAATATTTTGACTTTGAATATAGTTGACAAATGGTGATTTTGTTTCATTATCTTGTATTCTTTTATTTACCATTCTTAAGCATTAAGCATTATGGATTAATGGTTTTTCTGGGAGTACTTAATGAATGATTATATTGAGATTGTCTTAAAGTTCCAAGGTTACATTGGTATTAAAGCTATCACCTTTGGGACGATATATGATCACATTGGTATAAACTCAATTTTCAAAGCACAGAAAAGAAAATAAAAATGATTAACGTTTTTTGTTATATAAAAACTCTGAACTTGTACAATACGTGTTTACTTAAATGCTGTGAGTTACTATTCATAACTTGTTACTGTATATCAAAGTAGGCTAGGATGTTACTTACCAGTAAGAGAGTAATCAGCCCGAATGCGAATTTACGTCATGCATGAGCAAGCTCTAAAATTTTTGGTCAAACAATAAAGTGTGTACTTCGTATTCGCTTTTCTTAAGAGCTAAGAAACCATTAGATCAAGTGTAATTAAAACAATAATGAATAGGTGCACCACTGCCTATAAAATGAATATGTAGTTAAAAAAAAAAAAGAAATATGAACACGTAAAAAAAAAAATGAACATTTAATAATAAAAAATGAACACATAAAAAAATGAACATTTAGTGTTTAAAAAGTGAACATGTTAAAAAAAAATGATCATTTAGTATATTGAAAATGAAAATGATAATCATAAATTGCTGGACCATGACCTTAAAAATGAACATTTAGTAAAAATAATTATGAACACGTAAAAAAAAAAACATTTCGTAATAAAAAATGAATACTTCAAAAATAGTTATGAACGTTATAATATTAAAAGTGATCATTCATCGTACAATCATAGAATAGTTGGACCAAACCTAATAAAATGAACATTTTATAACGATATATGAACAACTTAGATAAAATAAACATTAATGTAAAAAAATGAACACGTAAAAAATTATGAACAATTAGTATACTAAAAATGAACATATTTTTCCTATATTCATATAAATTCAAAATCATTGTATCTAATTATTAACAGAAAATAAAGATAAGATAAATCGTTAAAAAAAATGTTCAGTTTTTATGTACTAAATGTTCATATTTATTGTATTAAATAAATGTTCTATTAGAGATATGATATCATCAATACGAAAAATATATGTGTGATATATTTTTCGTATTGATCTTATTAGGAGAATAATATATTAATCTTTATTTATGTTAAAGATATTAGTTAGAGAATATATCTTTAGGTTTATGGTTATACTGATATATCTTTTAGGAAGATTGTTTCCTATCTTATGATATTAGGTTTTGTATAAATACTCTACCTATTGATGAATAATAAACAAGCCATTCAATTCTATTTTTATCTAATTTATCATGATATAAAGAGTAGGTTAAATCTTGGGACCGTTCACAAAAAAAAAAAAAAAATTCCCCTGCCGGTGGATTGGAAAATTAAACTCACCGGCGGGATACATAAATTTTACCCAAAAATTCCGCTACTTTTTTTTTTTTGGGTATACGTGATTAATCCATCATATATGATGGCAGGTGATTTTTTTTGGAGTATGTGAGTGAACTTCTCCCGTACTACATCTCCATGGAGATGGAGAAAAGCCACGTTTGGCCCAATTTTTTATTTAAAAAAAAAATTAAAAAAATCGGCTCTCTTGTGTCATGAGACAAGATATATTGGTTTTTCTTGTGCCGTGATACAAGGTTCATGTGTGTGGTTCTCTTTGTGTTATGAGACAAGGTTTGTGATAGGATTCAAGCATAATTTTGCTTTTTGGATATGAGTGTGGGTTTTGCTCTAAAATAAAACCAATAAGATATTTGATTGTGGTTTGCTCTGAAAAACCAATATTTGATTAGAGCTCGGTTTTTCTTAGGAAAACCAAAATACAACGAGTTCAAGAAGAAAAGACGTTCTCGTTGTAATGTTATTTTTACAGGTTCGAAAAGAATGATGTTTCTGCTTGGTTGATGATTGATGAGTTCGAAAAGCGCAACGTTCTCATCATTGAAAAAAAAAAGAAAAAAAAAATTGAAGGCGACATCACAAGAGTGTGTATCTTGGCTTCAACAAATTGACGAATTTCCATTCGCAACGTTCGTGTTACTGTTGTTACAATTGCGGAAGGGTATTAGAGATATGATATCATTAATATTGGAAAATATATGTGTGATATATTTTCCGTATTGATCTTATTAGGAGAATAATATATTTATCTTTATTTATGTTAAAGATATTAGTTAGAGAATATATCTTTAGGTTTTGTAGTTATACTAATATATTTTTTAGGAAGATTGTTTCCTATCTTATGATCTTAGATTTTGTATAAATACTCTACCTATTGATGAATAATAAACAAGCCATTCAATTCTATTTTCAATCTAATTTATCATGTTCATTTTGTACTAAATGTTCAATTTTAAAGTACACCGTGTTCATTTTTTTTCTCCAAAAGTTATACACAAATATTAACAACTTAATTAAAAAAATCTAAAAATTGTAATAACAAACGAATTCAAGATGTAGCAACTCAATAATTCATCACAAAACTTCATCAATTAAATTAATATTCATAACAAATTCAAAAATTCAATTGAAATATTCTAATTCACCTGATTCATCAAAAAGTCAATTGAAATTTATCAAACTCCTCAAATTGAAATTCATCAAATTATAAAATCAGAAAATCAATTACAAATTCAGCCAAAAACTAACCTAATTAAAACTAATTAAAAATCAACAACACAAAAACTAACCTCCATTGATGATTTCTTCTGAATATCAACCAAATTCATAATGATGCAGAAAACAAAAGAAAAAAGAAAATGTCAAATGAAAGAGAATAAAATTAAGAGAGAAAATTGCATTGCAAATTATTATGAAAGTGAAGAAAAAATCATAAATAAAACAAGGAAATAACTAAGAAAAAAGAAAGAAGAACACTATAGGAAAAACTTAAAGAAAGAAGGAAGAAGAAGGTAGCTTGCGTTTTGTTAATATATTGCTGCGTTTAAGTGTGATGCAGCTATCTTAGCTGCATAAGGATGCAACTAAGAATTTGCGTAATTAAAATTTAGGTGATCACGGGCAAGGCTACACTTTATTTCGGGCCAAAGCTCTAAGTTGAGCCCATCTTCAAGCTAGCAAATTGTGGCTAAAATCTGGCAATTTTTACCTATTTTATGTGGTCCAAGAAAAAACCATGTCGTTTAAAGCAACCACTTGACTTCAATACATCTTCTTCTTTATGAATGGTGGTATAGCAAAAACCTTAACTAATTGTTGTCAAGTGGTTCCTTCTTGGTTTTTCTCCTTATGAGGGTTTTTCTTGGTTCCCTCTAGGATTTTTCCTTTACAAGGATTTTCCAAGCCTCCATTGTTAGGGTTTTTTTTTTTTTTTTTTTTTTTTTTTTTTTTTTTTTTTTTTTTTTCTTTTCTCTTCATCATTATCATCACTTTTTCTCTTGATCTCAGTTGTAAATATTTGTCGGGGCTTCCAACGATGTTCTTACCGGCGGCAAGCCTCAAAAATCTTTTAATTGCTTTCAACAAATTGATCTCATCCTTGTGATGATGGTTTTTCTCGTGTCTATTTTCATTTTTTTTGTTTGTATGGCGAGAATTAAAGAATTATGGTTTTATAATCTCCATAAAAATCCAAAGGACCTCATAAGTATTTTCACTCAAACGACTATGCATTAGTGGATTTCAAGCTGAACCAGAGCTAACTCACAGATTGTATTGTTTCATATGATGTTTTTTATTAAGGCGATTATTGATCGAATTTGCAATGTATTTAGTTTTAAGGTGTTATATACTTGTGCTGGAATTCTTGATTTCTTAAGAATTATATGTAAGTGTCGTTTGACTATATTTTATTAATGAAATCACTTTTCATCTAGTTAAAAAAAAAATAAAAAAACTTAACTACCTCAAATACAATCAAATTTCTCTATAGTTATGATAGCAAATTTATTCCTCGACCTTCCGTCGACGGTCTCACTTACGTCGTCTTTGTTCATCGTGGAATCTCCTTATCTAGTTAGCACTTTCTCTTTCTTCCTCTCGTAATTTTTAGTTTTTTTTTTTTTTTTTTTTTTTTTTTTTTTTTTTATTTATTTTTTGTCAAGTAGTGTTGGTTTTTAGAACTAGTTGTTTCGGGGTTTTTTGGAGTCCCTCGGGAGAGTTACAATTCCAAGAATGCGCGTCGACCGCTGTACCTGTAAAACCACGGAAACTCCGGTTGGTTGGAGTTCCGCCTCCGACGATCAAGTTAGAATGTTTTCGGATGTATTAAAGTGCCGAATGTAAAGGTTTTTCTCTTGGATTCTGGGAGAATTCTGCAATTATTATTGCTCGGGTTTTGTGTGTATATTTATGAATGTGTAATAAATGAGGATTTTCCTCTATTTATAGTGAGAGGAGATTAGTTCTCCTTTCATAGGTTAGAGTGCCACGTGTCACTAGAGGATTGGTTCTATCAGAACCTCTCTGATGATGAAACGTGTCAGCATGCGACGTGGACAGGGATATTTTACCCTAAACATTTTCCCCTCACAGGTGTGACGTGGCTTGCCACGTGGCACCTGTGATAGGTGTCATACTCTGAGAAGGTGACGTTTCGTCTCCTTCTCTTTTTTTTTTGAATTCGAATTTTGAATTCGAATTGGGAAGGTGACGGTTCGCCTTCTAGGTGTTTCTATAAGTAGAGATCCCCTCCCCTCATTTTCACACTTTGCATATTTGAGAAATTTTTTGTGAGAGAAAAGAAAAGCTCTAAGACTGGCTGCTATTTTATTCAAAACCGCCTGTCTCTTCTTCACTCAAACGGCTACCGCCTGGGTACCCATTACTCAAAGCTCATAGGTACCGCCTGATCATAATAAAATTCTTGCCCTTTGCTCTCAATATACCCTCACCCGGTCTACCGTCTGGGGTATCATCAAGCAAGATTTTAGAGAAACGGTTGGGTTGCTCAACAATTTTCAAATGCTCTTGAAGAGGGTACATCCGGAAA